TGGGGGTGACCTGGGGGGCGAAGGATGATGATGATGATGATGATGATGATGATGATGATGATGATGATGCTGATGATGATGCTGATGATGCTGATGCTGATGCTGATGCTGATGATGATGAAGATGATGTTGATGCTGATGCTGATGATGCTGATGCTGATGCTGATGATGATGCTGATGCTGATGCTGATGCGGATGCTGATGCTGATGCTGATGATGATCCTGATGATGTTGATGCTGATGCTGATGCTGATGCTGGTGCTGATGCTGATGATGATGATGATGAAGATGCCAATGACGATGACCATGACGACGATGATGACGATGACGACGATGATGACGACGACGACGATGATGATGATAATTCATTGATGATGATGGTGATGATGATGATGATGATGATGATGATGATGATGATGATGATGATGATCATGATGAACGCCATCTGCGCGCCCCTGGGGGTGACCCGCGGGGGGGCGCCTGTCCCCAGGGCGCCTGCCCCTGGGGGCGGCTGGATGATGATGATGATGATGATGATGATGATGATGATGATGATGATGATGATGATGATGATGATGATGTTGAACGCCATCTGCACGCCCCTGGGGGTGACCCGCCGGGGGCGAACGAGAATCCGCGGGCGACCCGCGGGTGGTGACCCGCGGAGGGCGTGTGTGTGTGTGTGTGCTTCTTCGCCTCGGGGAGGCGCCTGCCCCCGGGGGCGGCTGGAGCACGAGCTCGTAACATACCCCCCCCCTTGCGTGCCGCCGCGCTCGCACAGCGAAGCGCGTGGACGCTGTCCTCTGCCAGCCCTGGGGCGGGCGCCCCCCGACGGCGGAGGAGTCTTCTTCGAGCAGGGAGATAGGGAAACGAGCTCTATACACCGACGCTTTTTCCGACCCTGCGCTGAAATTCGCACAGGAACGCGGATCCTGGTGTATACGGGATCCTGGTGTATACATTTTTCCTTGTTTCCCTTGGAAAACGGGGGAGAAGTGTACATCACACCACCCCGACGTCGTCCCCGACCCTCAAAAAGTCGTGGGATTGAAACGAAACCCGCCACTGGCAATGTAGCTGTTCCAGTCTCCGAGGAAATTCGACTAGAGAATTGAGTTACCCCCGAAGGTCGAAGGGCCCAGAGATCCGACGCTCCCAAAAACAGATGGAGCGGGCGGTTTTGGACCGTTTTTTCGGCCTGCAGGAGCCCCCGCCGGGCTTTTGGGAGCGTCCAAAAGCGGCTCGGGACGAAGAGCCGGCCCCGGGGAAGAGATCCAGACCTCCGGAACCCACGCATCGACAAACATTGGAGCAGCCCGGGTGTCTGGGAAGGAGAAGGCCATCGACCTGGGAAAGAACGTAGGATGCTCCGTAGATCTACAGTGGGGGCCCGAACGCAAGAAGCCCTTCACAAGAGACACAACCCTGAGACCCCAGGACGGTCATTGATTTTTGGTGTGGGAGCGTCACGCTCTCCACGGCAAAACTGTCGAAGCCCAAGAAACCCAGGGCACCCTGGAGGCAAGCAGGGTGTTTCTTGGCATAGGTCTCCACTGTATTGAACCTTCTACGTGAAACGTTCGTTGATGTGACGGAAAACCAAGTTTGGGGTAGACCAATTCTGTAGCCGATCGCCTCTTCGAAGCCCATGCTGTGCCGCCAGTCGCCCACGAAGAGAGGGGCAGCGCGACGCGGAACCCGCTCGCGCGGCGCAAGCGCGCCAGGCCCCACGCTCCCCTTTGCGCGAGCAGTTCAGCGACTTGCCAGCTCGCACACCTGGCCCCGGCCCGCGCGACCAGCTTCACGACCTACTCAGGTCGCGCAACCGTGACCTCAGCCCCCCCAGGGCAGCGCGGGCAGTCTAACTTTCGGTGGCAATCTCCTTGGAGCCTCCCATGCATTCTGATGGCGCTTGCTAATCGACGCTAATCGGCGCCAATTCGACGCCAGTCGACGCTAAATCGGCGCCTTTTCGTCGATTACCACATGCCAGCACACGCCAATGCACTCTAAAGCCGGAACTCCGAGGACGTAATCACGAAGCTCCCGTAAGCTGCTGCCGAAAAGTCGAACTGTCTGCGAAAGTCCGAGCCAGCGTCAGAAGTCGTCGAACATGTCCGCCAGGCTCTGGATCCTGGCAACCATCCTGTCGGCTGCACACAGGAGTGACTCCGAGTAAAGAGTGACCTCTGGTGCGCGGCTTTTGCTTTTGGGGTGCCGCGGGGGGGGCCAAACACCAGCGCGCAAGAGGCCACTGCCGCCTCGCGTTCAGCGATTGGGGGACCCGAGTGGGCCCGCACCAATAGAAGAAGAATAAAAAGAGAAAACTGCATAAAGATTAACTTTTGGCGCTCCGCGCGGATTTCTTGGATCAGCGATGGGACACCCTCCCTGGCGCGCGGAGCGCGGCAGTGGCGGCGCCAGAGGCGTCGCCAGAGGGGGACCCAGCGCGGATCCAAGAAATCCGCGCGGAGCGCTTAAAGTTTATGTTTATGCCGTTTTTTACTCTTCGAACCAAAGGTCACTCCAGCGAAGGGGACCTCTGACGTGCGGCCGATCCTGGCGCGCTCGACCCTCTCCGCTGGGCTCTCGAGCGGCGCGGCGCCGGCGCCCGCCGCCGCCGCCGGCGCGAAGGGCCGCGAGCTGCACCGCGGGCCCGACGGTGGGCCGCCGCGATGCCCGGCCGCCTCTGAGCATCGCTCCGCCGAGCCAGAGGAGGAGGAGGAGGAGGAGGAGGAGGAGGAGGAGGAGGAGGAGGACAGGAGGAGAAGGAGGGAGGAGGAGGAGGAGGAGGAAGGGGGAGGAGGAGGAGGAGGAGGAGGAGGAGGAGAGGGAGGAGGAGGAGGGGGAGGAGGAGGAGAGGAGGAGGGGAGGACGAGGAGGAGGAGGAGAATAGGAGGAGGAGGGAGGAGGAGGAGGAGAAGGAGGAGGAAGAGGGAGGGGAGGAGGAGGAGGAGGAGGAGGAAGAGGAGGAGGAGAGGAGGAGGAAGGAGGAGGGAGGAGGAGAAGGAGGAGGGGGAGGAGGAGGGAGGAGGAGGAGGAGGAGGAGGAGGAGGAGGAAGAGGAAGAGGAGAGGAGGAGGAGGAGGAGGAGGAGGAGGAGAGGAGGAGGGGGAGGGGAGGGGAGGAGAGGAAGGAGGAGGAGGAGGAGAAGGAGGAGGAGGCGGAGGAGGAGGAGGAGGAGGAGAGGAGAAGGAGGAGGAGGAGGAGGAGAGAGGAGAGGAGGAGGCGGAGAAGGAGGACGAGGAGGGAGGAGGAGGAGGAGGAGGAGGGGGAGGAGGAGGAGGAGGAAGAGGAGCAGGAGGAAGAAGAAGAACAACCAGAAAAAGAATAATAATAAGAAGAAGAAGACAAAGAAGAAGACAAAGAAGAAGAAGAAGAAGGAGAAGAAGAAGAGGAGCCCCACTGGCGTGGCCCGGGCCCACTGGCCACGGACAGGATCAATTCGTGAGAAAATCAGGGCGGAGGTGCTTCGTACTATTTCTGGCCCATGTGGGGGCCCTCGCTCGGCCCCGGGGACCGTCCAAAGCACGGCTCGCGATGAAAAAGCGGGCCTGGGGGGTTGAGGTCGGGGCTTCCGGGGGACCCCGTGCCGAATCCATCAGGGCACTGCATGTCTGGGCCCCTGCCTAGAGGGCAAAGAATCCAGCCACATAAGAATCACCCCGACAGGCGAAGCCATTTAGTAAACGCACCAACGGCAGGAAGCGAACAGGGCAGAGCTGTTTGGTCAACGCCCAGGGCCGTTTAGTAAACGCAGATTGTCGGGTCCGGGTAGTTTTTCCTCCTTTGACTCTCCCCACTGGCGTGGCCTGGGTCCCACTGGCCCATTTCTAGAGGAACCGATACAGCATATAAAGCATGAATCGTTGGAGGCCCGCGCGGGTTTTTGGGACCGGCGCTGGACCCCCTGGCGCGCACGCGTGCGCGCCAAGGGCGGCGCCAGAGGCGCCGCTATGGGGCTCCAGCGCCGATCAGAGAAATCCACGCGGACCTCCAAGAGTTTTTTTGGCTTATGGCACTTCTTGCTCCCCGAACTTACCCCCCCAGAGGCTGCCCCCTTCGGGACTCGTAATTAGGGCCTATCCCCACCGGGGTCGGTGCGGTGCGGTGGTGGGGCTGAGATGTAATGGCAAGGTGGAGATGGGGACAGGCTGAACGCTACGGAGCCTCGACGGCACGCCTGGGACGGCAGCAGCGCGTCCCAGGCGCGCCTTGGACAAGATGTGTTATCTTTTGGGGCCCATCGGACAACAAATCTTGTTATGCTGACAACATCCCTTGTCCATTTGACAGCACAGGCTGACCAAAAATGGACGAGAACCGCCGCCACGATGACGAGACATGTTGCCAGACGGGCTCCGAAGAACAGCAACTCTTGCCCCAGATGAACAAGCGCTGCTGTTGGGCACCGTACCCGTACTTTCCGTCCCCATCTCTGTGGTTAGCAACGAAAGGACCCCTAACCCTTTGAGAGGGGACCCGAGTTAGGAGGGCCACAAACACATCAGGGATAGAGAGCCTGTTATGCAGACGTGCCAACCCAAAGCGCCCAGGTCCAGTATCCCCAACGCAGAGGCGGGGACCCAAGCCAGGCCACGCCTGCAGTATGTCATTGGGGATCGGGGCCCCCTTTCTCCTCCTCGATTCTGTGAAGGGGCCCCAGGACACACAAATAAATACACACTAATAAACATATTCCTATATTTTTCCATATTTTCGGGGTTTCTGTCTTCGCCCCCACTTCCCATATTTTCCCATATTTTCTGAGGAATCGACGATTAATTGTGTCTGTGTGTTTCTTCCCCTCCTCGATTCTGGGCGCGCGAAGCCTGGGAGGGCAGCAGCGCGTCCCCGGGACCGCCCTCGGCCCGCGGCGCCCGGGACGCGCCGGGCGCCTCCGCGGCGCGCCCGCGGCCCTCCTGCGTCGCGCCCTCCGCCGCCGCGGCGGCCTCGCCGCCGGCGCGCCGCAGCTGTGCCGCGGGCGGCGCGGGGGGGCTCCTCCGCCGCGCCGCGCGCGGGCGGGGCCGCGGCGGCGGGCCACGGCAAGGCCGCCGGCGCGCCCGCTGCGCCGTGGCCGGCCGCGGCGGCGGCGAGCCGCCTGCGCCGGCGGGGCGGGCCCCCGGGCGCGCCGTGCTCCACCCACGCCTTGCGCTTCTCGGCCGCCTGCTGCCGCGCCTGCCGCGAGCGCCGGGCCGCCTCCTTCTGCCGCCGGGCCCGGTCCTCGTGGTCCCAGCACTCCAGGAAGTGCTTGTTGAGCTCGTTGTACAGGTCCCGCTTCGCCTGCGACTCCTCCGGCGACAGGAGGCACTGCGCGGGGACGTCGTCGCCGTCGCCGTCCGAGCTCAGCGGCTGCGGGGCCCGGTGGCACTCGGCGGCCTCCAGGGCGCCTGCCCTGCGCTTCTCCTTGTCCCGCCTCTCGGCGACACGCAGGGGTGGCCCTGGGCAAGAGTGACCTTCGGTGCGCGGACTGAGGGGGCGCAAGGTGGCCGAAGCCAAGCGCGCAAGCAGCCGCCACAGCGTCGCGCTCAGCAGTCGGGGGGGCCCCGATGAGCCCGCACCCAAAGGTCACTCCGGCGCAGGGCCCCTCTGACGTGCAGCCGACGCCTCCTCCTGCAGGCCCTCTCCGCCCAGAGGTCCCCGGCCTCCGTCCGCGCCCCCGGCGGCGCCTCGCCTCGGCACTCCGGGCCCCGCGAAGGCGCGGCCCCAGGCGCCCCCGATCGCCTGGCGCAGGGACGCCACCCCACCTGCGGGCAGAACTCTCGCCATCGCTCGGACGTCCATTCCCCGTGCACTGTTCGGTTTCGTGCGTGTTTTTTGTTTGCTCGAGGGTCCAGGATGCTCCTCGATGGTCCTCGCCGAGAAAACAAAGGCACACGTCCGAGCGATGCCGAGGACTTGGGTCCATGTCCACGGGGTCTTGGATGCTGAGAAGGGGCGCTGAAAACAGGAGATGCGGTGGATGAGGAGAAAGTCTGGCCTCCCTGGAAGCCAGGTGCTTGCTCCTACATGCCTCCAGGGGAAGGAATCCGAACATCCGAGACGCACAGGACCTAGAGATCCGACGACGCGAAAAACTGCAACATCGTGAAAGATCACGGCCAGAATCCACACCCCCTCTTTCTGCCCCGCTTTTCGACCCAAATCGGCCTGTGAAGGACCCAGGGCCCGAAACAAGGCGAGATCGCCCAGCTCGAAAAGATCAACACGCCAGAATTTCAAGGGATACAGTAGAGGCCTCCGAGATGGGGTCTGAGTAGATTGGGTCGGATGATCGCGCCGCATCGAGGATACATCGGCGAGCCATCGGCGACGTCGGCGGTGCGTCAACGCCGTCGGCGTGCAGAAAATCGGGCTCAACATCGAGCCGCACCTTCGATACATCGTCAATGCGAGGCGATCCTCCGACCCAATCTGCTCGGACCCCAGCTGGGAAGCCTAGAAATACCTTGCACGCACCACCTCCGGGTGGGCCCAGTGGCAGGGGTCCCTGCAGCTGCTGATGGGCAGGCGGCCTTTTGCCTCAAATGCGCCCGCGGCGACGCCGACGGCGAGTCTGGCTCACAATCAACAGGAACCGGCGCGGGTCTTCGCAACCCTGCTTCCGTACCATTTCGATCGCGTACTTGTCCTGGGTTCGACCGCCCTGGCATTCCCATAGGCCTACCACGACGAACAAACGAAAGTCCGTACATCAAAAACATTGTTCTGAGACCATGGCCCGATTGAGTTAAACAGGACAGCCTCAGCCAGAAATGTTCCAAGAACATTTCGGGCAAACCACAAACAAGCCTATAGGCAAGCCAGGACGCTTCGCCACTGCTTGTCGGGGATCTATTGGCCCGTGTCGATCCAGACACGGGTCAGGTCAGGCCTTGCAAGATCTGGCAAGATTCTGCAGAATCCTGCAGCGTCCTGCACCCAAACCCAGGTCAGTGCACCCCTGGCGCTGCAGGAACCTGCCAGATCTGGCGCTCTGACTGAACCCCCGTTTGCATTTTGACCCCCGTCTCGTGAGCCCCGATTCGCGCCTCTGGGGGTGACCCAGGGGACGAACGAGAATCCGCGGGGGAAGGGCGGTGCGTGTGTGCTTCTCCGCCCTTCCCTTTGCATGGCACAATTCGCTACAACGGCACCCCCGTTTAGTCAGCTCTCCGCCAGCGCACTTACTCTGCCCAGCCGCCGACGCAAAAGTGTGTTTCTCCGCCTCGGGGAAGCGCCTGCCCCAGGTCGGGTGGAAAGCTTCTACCTTCAACCCCTGCGTGCCGCCGCGCTCGCATCGAAGCGTGGACTGTCCTGCTTGATTTACCAAGGAACTGTCTTCCGTCGACATACCAAAAAACAAGGAAACAAAGAAAATGCCGATCTGGGACTGGCACCCCAGACGGCGGAAGGGGATCGACACAGACTTGACTTACCCCAGAACTGGTTTCCCCTTCAATCTGCGACGACACCAACAACGACGACGACGACGACAGCAGCAACAGCAACGGCAACAGCAACAACAACAGCATCAACAGCAACAACAATTACATCAACAGCAACCACACCCACAGCAACCACAACAACAACAGCAACAACAACAACAACAACAACCACAACCACAACAACAACAACAACAACAACAACAACAACAACAACAACAACAAGGCAACACCGGCTTTCTGGGCCCCATGCCCAGGGCCTCGCTTACCAGTCGTCCCCACAAGAGGAACACCGACATTCAGAGGCCCCCTCGGGGCTTGGGAGGGGGGAGGGGACACCGCACCGCACCGCACCGCACCTCAGCACCCTTACTAGAATCCTATGACAGGTGCATCCACCTCTCATAGAATCTTATGAGGGGTGCATCCACCCCGAATAGAATCCTACTTGAAGTGTACCTACTCCGAATAGAATCCTATGGGAGGTGTAACAACCCCTAATACAATCTCATCAAAGGCGCACCCACTCCAAATAGAATCCCACAAAAGGTGTATCCACCCACAAAAGAATCCGACTAGAGGTGCACCCAATCCTAACAGAATCCTATTAGAGGTGTATCCACCCCTAATAGAATCCGATTCGAGGTGTATCCACCCTTCATCGATACGTATTAGTGGCACCCTTAATAGATACCTATTAGAAGTGTATCCAGCCCCCTTTAGAATCGCATTAGAGGTGTATCCACCTCTAATTGAATCCTATTAGAGGTGTATCCACCCCAAAAAGAATCGCATTAGAGGTGTGTCCACCTCTACTAGAATCATATCAGAGGTGTTTCCACCCCAAATTGGATTCTATTGGAAGGGTATGCACCTCTCATATAATCGTACGAGACGTGTATCAACCCCAAATGGAATCTTATTAGAGGTATATCCATCCTTCATACAATCCTCCTGAAGGTGTGTCCACTCCAAATTAGATTATGTTAGAGGTGTATCCACCTCTAAGAAAATCCGCCGGCCCCCTTGCGGGGCCACCATGCTGCAAGACGAAGGTTCGCAGTTTCCTGTACCAGTTGCAGCTTCCAGTTTCCACTGTTACAGTTTTGCTTCTTGCTGCTTACTGTTCCTTGCTGACTTCTTGCTGCTTACTGTTCCTTGTTGATAGACCGCGCGAGGGGGGGGGCCCAAAACGGGCATTTTTACCACGACCTGAGCGTATGCTCTGAATTCTGGGGTGGGCAAAAACTGACACCCCTCACGCAGATCGGCGGTGTCAGGGTCCAAAAACACACGGGGTTTGCCAAATTTCTAAAATTCGGTGGCGCCCCTGTCAGGGTCCAAAAACACACGGGATTTGCCACAATTCTGAGAAGGGGGAGAAAAAAAAGACACCCCTCACGCAGATCGGCGGGGTCTGGGTCCAAAAACAAATCGGATTTGCCACATGTCTGACATCCGGTGGCACTTCTCACGCAGATCGGCGAGGTCAGGGTCCAAAAACACATGAGATTTGCAACACTTCTACATTCTGGCAGCACCTCTCACGCAGATCGGCGGGGTCAGGGTCCAAAAACACAGGGGATTTGCCACACTGGTAAAATTCGGTGGCACCCTTCACGCAGATCGGCGGGGTCACGGTCCAAAAACACATGGGGTTTGCCATATTTCTAAAATTCGGTGACACCCCTCACGCAGATCGGCAGGGTCAGGGTCCAAAAGCACATGGGATTCGCCACATTTCTAAAATTCGGCGGCACCCCTCACGCAGATCGGCCGGGTCAGGGTCCAAAAACACATAGGATTTGCCACATGTCGCAAATCCGTAGGGTCAGGGTCCAAACACACAAAGGATTTGCCACAGTTCTGAAATGCGGTGGCACCCGTGACGCAGATCCGTAGGGTCAGGGTGGAAAAACAAACAGGTCCCGACACTGCTTCACGGCGGCGCCCAGACCTCATGATTTAGCTGTTGCATCTCCCATTATCCGAGACAGGGGCCCGGCGGCATGGGGCGAAGCCCTTACGGATCTTTTTAGAGGTGTATCCACCCTTAACAGATACCTAGTAGAGGTGCACCCACCCTTAATAGAGACCTATTAGGGGTGCATCCACCCCTGATAGAATCGCATTAGATGTGTACCGACCTCGAATAGAATCCTAATAAGGGTGTACCCTCCCCGAATAGAATCCGATTAGAGGTCAACCCACCAAACATAACATCGTATTAGAGTTGTGCCAACCTCTAGTATACTCGTATACGAGTGCATCCACCTCTCATAGAATCGTATTAGAGGTTATCCACCTCTATTAGTATCGCATTCGAGGTGTATCTACCTCTAATAGAATTCGATCAGAGGTGATCCACCTCTAAAAGAATCATATCAGAGGTGTATCCACCCCTAATAGAATCCGATGAGAGGTGTACCCACCCCAAATAGAATCGCTTTAGAAGCGTATCCACCTCAAATAGAATCGTATTAGAAGTGGAACTACCTCTCATACAGTCGAATTCACTATGTATCCAGTACCCACCCCGAATACAATCCCAGTAGAGGTGTATCCGCCCCTTGTAGAATCCGTTTAGAGGCGCACCCACTCCTAATAGAATCCTCTTAGAAGTGTGCCCACCCTTCATAAAATCAGATTAGAGGTGTACCCACAGCTAATAGAATCCTATGTGTGGTGTCCCCACCCCTAGTAGAATCCGATTAAAAGAGTACCCACCGATAGTAGAATACGTAACGCCCCGTAAATGCGGATGCGAGCGAGGGTGCGGTGGGGACGTCGGCAGTCTGCGAGACCCTGGATAACCCCGCCGCAGGCGCTAAAGTTCCAAAAATTACACAACGAGCCCGCCGCAGGCGCCGAATTCTTCTTCAAGCCAATGTGGATCGGTCGCGGGTAGGTCGCGGGTGGGTCGTGGGTGGGTTGCGGGGTGGAACGCGGGGTGGGTCGCGGGTGGGTCGCGGGTGGGTCGCGGGTGTGTCGCAGGTGGGTCGCGGGTGGGTCGCGGGGTGGGTCGCGGGGTGGGTCGCGGGGTGGGTCGCGGGTGGGTCGCAGGGTGGGTCGCGGGGTGGGTCGCAGGGTGGGTCGCGGGGTGGGTCGCGTGTGGGTCGCGGGGGAGGGCGACGACAACAAACAACAACAATGCAACAAGCAGAATCCTCACCACGGATTCTCTCTTAAGCCACGCACCCAGGAACAATGAATGACCGTTCGGCCCCCTCACTCACTGTTAGAAGTGTACCCACCCGTACTAGAACCGTAGAAGATGTGTAGCCACTCCGAATAGAATCCGATTAGAAGTCGATCCACCCCTA